TATATATATATATATATATATATATATATATGTGTGTGTGTGTGTGTGTGTGTGTGTGTGTGTGTTCCATTAAGATTATGAAAAAAAGAGATATTGAAATTCAACTTCAGCTATATATTTCATTTCTACCACTCTAGCGCTCCATCGTATAGGCACCGCATTCCCGACCACATCATTCCTTTCCCATCCACATTACCCACTACAACAACCGTCACCACCACCACCAGCACCACCACCTCCATCAACTGACCCCACTACTGCCAACTCCATGACCTCTACTACCGCGACCTCTGCCATCACCACCTCCTCCATCACTAACCACCATAATTATATATGACTAATCACTTTGTGAAAAAACTTATATGTATAATCATTTGTTATTAGACATATATGTATAATCATATATGATAATACCTCTCCGTCATATAATTATTTATGATTAGGCGTATACTGTCATGCTGTTACACTGGAGCGTAAAAGCGACATATGAGTAATGTGTTGCTATGGTTATATCTCAAGATCTTTAATTTTCTAGAATCTCATAGGGATCGTCCTCTCTGTATGTGTATGTGTTTATATATATATATATATATATATATATATATATATCTTTATTTATTTGAGAACCCTTATCTTGTAAGAATAGATGAAGACCAATCCCTTAGAATCATGAAGAATTTGAATCCACTTCCACCATTTTACCATCTTTGGTTCTTGATTTCAAAAGGAATTGGTATATTAAATGAGTTTAACTTTCTATCGATGGAAAGAAAGTAAATTACATCTAAGAAGATCAAAATATTTAAAATCCCATTCTAGAGTGATTGTTGAAGTACCCTCAACCATCACACAACTTATGCTATTATCCACCACCGCACATCGCATCTACCCACCATCATTTCCAACACCACCGCCTCCATCGATTATCACTTCCACCACCACCACCACCATCCACCGCAACCATCCTTGGCACCCCCGCCCACCACCACCACCGCCTCTACCACCATCACTACCACCACCTCCTCTTTACAACGTACCGTCACCATTTACTATTTTTATAACTTATATAATATATCTTTACGTATAAACATTGTTTAAAAACACTAATTAAAACTGATTGGTCGAACCATTTTTTATAAGAAAGTGACAATGTTTTTTTTATGATAAAGTTAATAGTGAATTTCATTACTAAACGATCATGAGATTGATGCATTTAACACTGCAATGTCTCAAAAGCCGTGATTTGGTTTCATCTTAATATTTTTGTATTAATCTAAAACTATATTTTATTTTGATATTATGCATTATGTTTCTTTTTGATGTATTTGGATTGATGTAAACTTATGCTTATGTGTTTTTTTTAATGTATTTGGACTGATCTGCCTAAAGAAATTTTGAAAATACTTATTTAAAGATGCAATTTGACACTCCAACCATCTGTGTTTTGAAATGGCGTATTCAACGATGTACGAGTATAAAACAAAGTTAGATTTAGGATTGTTATTTTAAAGTCAACTTTTGTATAATTTATGATTTTATACAAAATAGTTAATTATTTATTTCAATATAATGTTAAACGGTTAAGTTAAATCAAAATTTCAGTTAAACTTGAAAAAAATCGAAACATTATTTTAGAAATAGTTAAAAGTTATAAATTATAGTGTTAAACCTAAATTGTAATCCTAAATTAACAAAAAAAACATGAAAATATTTTTGAAAATCATTAAGAATTTTCAAATAAGTAGCTTAAAAATAACTTACAATAAGATTAGTTAAAAGTAATATTATATAAAAAATTATAATATTATGTTTAATAACAAAAACAATGTTTGTTGTTTTAAATAATTACAATCAAAGAAACTAACAAAATTCATCAAATAATTTTTAAAAAAGTTAAATTTCTGAAACCAAATTAAAATAATTAAGAGTTTTCAAATATGATATTTTAATAACTTACAACAACAATAGTTAAAAGTAACATTATATATAAAAATTATATTGTTACATTTAAAAACAAAAACAATGTTTGATGTTTCAAATAATTATAATGATAGAAATAAAAATCTTAAACAAATAAACTTTTTAAAATTAATTAATCATAACAACTATAAATATTATTATACCATATATTATATTTAATTTTACTAATGAGTAACCGTTATATAGAGGGCATTAAGACGATTATCATTATATAATTTTAAAAGATGTTTATATTATTATATAATTGAAAGCAAACAATGTTTATACCAACTTATTATAAAATCCTTCTTAATAAATAAAAAACTTTTTGTCAAATGTCACACTCTCATTGATTTTGCCACATGTCATTTTGTGGTTATTTTCAATTAAAATTTTTCCACATGACATTTTGTGGTTGTTTCGTTTTTATTCAATTTCACATAATATTTAATTAAATTTATTAATTGTAATAAATATAATAATAAATGCATCTCAATTTCATTAATTGACTTTCCTTCTAATTTCAAAATTTCTAAATTAAAACCAATTACTACTATTTGTTTATTTATCTAAATTATTTGTTTAAATTTAAAAGAGAAAAAATACTTTAATTTTAATAATTCAATATTTTTCTAATTTTTCTTATAATTTCAAAATTTTCAAATGTTTAGAATTTTATATTTATTTTTTTAGTTTAGAATTTTATATTTAATTTTTTTAAATGAACTCATATAATACATTGGTTTTACACTTAGTTTACTATATAAGAGCTAACAGCAACCTTATTGATCTATTTAAAAAATATATATTTATAAAGATTTCAAATATATTATTGTATTCTACTCAACGCGCGAGTATTCACCTATTAATGTTTTGAGAGTATTCGGTTATTAATGTTTTGAATACCGATGCCAAAATTTAATAAATAATACAGTCATGCATAAGTTCCGTGACTCTTTAATACATAACACATTTATTATATCTCGTGATAGAAAACATCAATGTTTGGTTATTCTTATTTTAAAACTTTAAATATATAATAGATGACAAAGCATACATCCTTTTTTCCATTTATGTGTGTTTCTTCAAGAAAACGTTTATTACCAAAACTGGAACTGACTTCTTCCCGAGATGTGTAATCAAATTACGGAAGACGTGATTTAAATCCGTATATCTTCATCTCACTGGCTTTCCTACTATCAAAACGCTCAAACCATGACGGAAAAAAAAAATATCAATCTATCTTATTTCCAAAGGAATAGATATATATGTGGGTATATAAGCACACTCAAGAAAACGTTTATTACAAAACCTGGAACTGACTTCTTTCCGACATGTCTAACAAGATAACTGGAAAAGTGATTTAAACAGTTTATACCATATATATATTTACATCTCATTGGCTTTCCTACAAAAACTCTGCCATGAGGTAAAAAAAACATTCACTCTATCTTATTTCCAGATGGGTATATACGCAGTACACTCAATCTAGTAGTTCCATAAAGACTCATCATCATAAAGTTCCATGGTATGATCCCCATAGCTGCCATACCCGACCTGCCTCTCCGGAGGCGCTACCATCAGTCCCTCCGCCATGCTGGCAAACAATCCTGGCATCTCGAAAATATCTTCTTCATCCACGTAAAGCTGAATTTCCGGCAACTCAATTGTTTCAACAATCTCGACAACTTCCTTCGTGTATCTGAAAGCCTCCGCAGCTTCTGATGCAGCCTTTTGTATATCATGTATATTGTTGGACTTGGGGATCGGAAGTCGCCAGACTGAATCAGCAAAATTCAAACAAGCCAATCGCCCCCTGAAAGCAAAAGCCGCCACATCATGTGCTCTTGCTGCCATTACAGCAGTGGGATGTGTCCCTAACCAAACCCTAAACTTCTTCTTCGGCTCTCTCACCTCACAAACCCACTTACCGTTGTCCCTCATCCTCACTCCCCTGTACACCGGATGTCGAGTCTCCCTAAACTTCTTCCTTCCGGCTCTCTTCTTTGGGTTCATTGAAGCCAGTTTCACATCTCTTTCAGCAGCTACACCCTCGATGGTACCTGTGCTGCAATTTGAGGTAAAAACGGATGCGCAGGGAGCATTTTTGGATGACTGGATGAAGGCATCCATATGTTGGTTGTTTGAGAAATTTATGAGTGAAGTTACGGTTTTGTTGGTAGTTTTTGCAAGTTATGACTTATAATTTACAATTTATAAGTGAAGTAATGGTTTTTTGGTATTGTTTTATGAGTGACTTTAAGTGACTGATATACCAATGGCGATGCTTATATAGACATTTGTGGAGTGTGTGTGATTGGGTTTGGGAAACGAGCTGGTGGTTTGCTTGGTGGAGGAAGGAGGCTTAACAACTGGCTTTATTTTATTTATTTTTAACGCGTGATATTTGGAGTAAATTAAAAACTATCCTTATAGTATTGGTAATTTACAGATTCAGTCCAATAGAGTCAAATGTTGTAATTGGTGTACAATTAGTTTTGTTTAACAGTAATGTTTTATATACAGTCTAAATTGGTATATGTTTAGCGTCATCACATTGACGGCTCATGGTTGGTCTTTTTGATTATTTTAGTCCATTTAGTTTCACTCTTCTTTGTTTCTAGGTTTTTAATTAATTAATTAATTAGTTTATTTATTTATTATTAAAACTCAAAAATACATATATCTCTCTAATAAAATTACATATCAAAATCATAATTATTACTCAGCTCAAACCCTAAACTCATTTCTTAAATCAAAACCTCAGACCAACTTGTGCTCTTAGCACAGTAAATAACCATAATCTAATATATTTAAAAGAATAAAACAAGAAATTTTATTTTCATTTGATTAATATTCATCATCCGTTCACAATGGTGGAATTTCGTGCTTCATCAAAGGCTCATACGGAAGCCACCACATCTACTTCTCCTAAGAAACCCTCTCTTATGCTAACTTCCCGCAATTTTGACATTTACTATGAGAACCAGTACCATTCCTTTTAAATACCTAAACAAATCATACAAGATTGCCACACAAAGAAGAGGACATTAGGCTTTAAGAAATCATCAACGAACAAGTCGTGTTCCTAAACAAGAAGACCTTTCTTGAAGCCATTGGGCTTCCTCCAATTTTAGAAGCATTGTATTTGAGCATCATTCCCGATGTCAAGTGTTCAAGGTCATTTAAAATCTTGGTCACAAGGACACGCTAAACAACACAACATATTTCAAGAATTCTAAGCTTCGAGCATTTTGTCACTTTCTTGTGTGGCTTATTGTTCGATGCATATCTGGAAAGACTGTTGGTACCGACTCTTAAGCCTACAATGGCTCAAATCTATTTGGAAAATTGCAATAGGAAGAGAAATCGATTATGGAACCATCATCTGAGATGATTTCATCGAGTACATCAAGGTGAAAAAGAATGAGTTCCCACATCCTCATTTTTGGGCCTTATCTTTTGAGGTTATGTATTGTGACAACCCGTAATTTCAAACCTTGTAAAAAGTCAAACATATCAAATAAAGGTCAAACCTATTTCTTTAATTATCCTAATATAGTTAGAGTAATGAGTTATAAGTGTTTGAAACTTGTATTCAAAAGTGTATTGTGTTTAAGGAGGAAATCATTTCGGACCGAGAACCCTCGCATGACCGCAAACCCTTCGCATCCGTGAACAAGCTTCGGACCGCAAACCCTCGGTTCACGACCGTGAACTCCCTTCGGACCGTGAACCTTCCCTATATATAAGAGTTTGGCCGATTTTTCCTTCACTTCTTCTTCTTCCAGCCGAAAACTCCAAATTTTCTCTCAACTATCATCATCCAAAAACATTCCTCTCTCCTCAGGAACATAAGAAACATATTCTTTTGTTGAAGATCATGCAAAATACTCTTGAATTCAACATACAATCTTGTAAGAATCACACCTTGATCTTGTAATCATCTTGCAAAAACTTCAAATCTTCTGGACCGAAAACCCTTAAAATCATCTTGGTTTCGCCAAGAACACCAAGATCACACACTTGAAGGAGGCCAAAAACTCAAGAACACCAAGCTGTTCTGGGGCCGTGAACCCCCAGCTGGTCGTGAACTCATTGCAGCCATACATCTTTGCTTCTAGCACTCTTATTTATAAGTTATACTTACAAATTAGTCCAATATCCAATCATTCCTATGATTATATTCATTAAATTGTTGCATATATATTACACAAATTACTATATAGGACTTGTTTTGCTACATGATTGCACTTGTGGATAAATATCCTATATCGAGTCATCAATCGAATCACCNGTGAGTTCATACCCCTACATTTTTATGATTTTTAACTATTTTAGGGGGGGGGGGGGAATACAAGTGAAACACGATAAAAATTGTGTTAGTATCTAAAATGTTTTTAAATTGTTATATTTATCAAAATTACATATTTATATCTGTGTAAATTATATAATTTGGATTCAGAAGATTTAGAATATGTAATTTTACCTCATTTCCTGTTCCTTGTTTGGTTGTGGGCTTGGGGTAAAGTTATTTAATCGAAGGACTAATTAATCACAATTATATAAATATTACATTTATATAAATATAAAATGGTTTTCAAACTGTTTTGTACTATTTGAGTACAAACAGTGGAGTTCATAGAATAACAATATTATAGATTCTTACAAAATTTAACAAATGTTTTCATTACAGTAAAGTAAACTATAATAGGTATAGTTTATAGAACTCATTCATTTGTTTCAAGCTTCAAGGTATATAACAGAAAACAAAAAGAGCACATAACAGAAAACAAACAGAGTACATAACGGGAAACAAGCAGAGAACATTTTTCAAAAATCAAATAGAATACATTACTGAAAACAAACATACAAACTATATTTTATATAGTTATGAAACTTACTTACAGTGTATTTATTACAAAGTAACTTTTCATTATTCTATGCGTAATTATCAATATGGTATTTGTGAGACAACCTTCACGTACTTTTGTATGTACTAACCAAGTCCTGAAATTATAACCAGAGTCTCCCTAAGGGCGAGCGCGACACTTGTATATAGATCTATATGAGACTGACAATCCCGCACCAGAGCTGCTTGCAACAGCTAGGTCGGCAGACCTGTGGTGACAAATGTCCTACCAGTTGCGACGCCTGAAGAACGTCGTGTTCAGGCGATATTAGGTCATCAAGCATGGTTATAAAAACTCACAATTTGGTATTGAACAAAATAATTAGTGTATGAATAAGTAAAACTTCACATAGTTTTATTTAACTATAAAACTATAATACAATATTTTAGAAGTATAGTTGGTTATATTAGCCACTTACAAACACACGAGTTGCATACTAGTACAAGAACATAATACTATTTCAATACAGATAAAACATACTTTTCATGGTTTTTAGGTGAACTAAACTACATTTTACTACTTCAGAGTACAATAACTTTCACACGTTTTGCTTACAACATAACAAAGCATAAAATATAGGATTTTCTGGGAAAAACATGTTTACATTAACAAAGGAACAAGAAAGACAGATTTCAGTTACAAACATACTTATGAACTCACCAACTGAATTGTTGACACCTTTTCAAAACTACTTGTATTCTCAGGGAACCAGTAGACATGTACACCCAGACTTTTGAGAAGACGGAGCTCTATAAACTCATGTCTTTTAGACTTCTACTTTTGGTATTATATATACTATGTTTTGAACACAAATGTAAAACTTATAACTTTGTAAATACAACAGTTGTTGTTGTACTTTGATTACTATTATGAATTGTTGTGATACTACACATGACGTCCTCCGCCCTCGAACGTTTCCTCCGTTCCGGTTTGGGGGTGTGACAGTGTGACATCCCCTAATTTCCCGGCCAGAAAAGACCGATTTATTTTATGCTTTTTAAAATAAAATCAGAGTAATCCTTTTAAAATATGTTGAGGAATTTGTTCCCAAAACAAAACTTGATAAAAATTTATCAAAACCTTTCTTTATAAAATATATGTTTTCATTTCATATCAAAACCTCGGGAAGTCATGTTCCAATACAGATCAAAAGCATAAACAACACATTATAAGCGTTACAACAGTGATTTACAACTACTGGCCTATAATCCAAAAATCACTCATCATCATCATCCGACTATGCTCGGAGTCCACTACCTGTAATATAAAAAGATGAATGGGTCAGGCTTGGAAGCCTGGTGAGCATATAGAGTTTTCAACCCACAATAAATAAATTTATTGTACTTAAACATCAATCAATCAACCAAATTACCCCAACCCCATTATCTTATTTATTTCTTAAGGGTTTACCCTAAGATTCAACTATCACTCATTGCTAAGGATTCATCCTAAGGAATATGCACGAAGTCACATCGTCGCCAGGGTTTATACAACAGACACTAAGTCCATAGCTGCCAAGGTTTATTCAACATGTGCTAAGTCCATAGCTCTTATTTATCGACAATATTATTCATGGGAATCCCCCCCTGCAATACATGTCAATGTGTTTTTAGAGTACAGCTGATGAACATATAGTTCACACACTTACAGGTTGCGAGCCTGCTAATGTTCCACAGATCATCTAGAATAGTCCATGGTTGTCATCCATACTCTGCTGAATGACGGGGGCCATGTTTGGGTAAGTGATTCTCTCATATTTCACCACTCACCCTCAACTCATGATCTATATCACTGATCATCTCATTTATCCAACTCACCTTTCATCACACACCCACTATTTCATCTACCCATATTTTACCCAACTTTTGTAGATAAAAATACACATATACAGTTTAAATTATTTAAAAACCTGTATAAATCATTCCTTCAACATCCTCTCATTTATCAAACTTATCTTTCATCACACACCCACTATTTCATCTACCCATGTTTTACCCAACATTTTCGTAGATAAAAATACATATATAGTTTAAAACTTGTATAAAACATTTATTCAACAGACACCTCAAATAAACAATTAATATAATTACACATAGCACGTATTTTAAGGTAAATACATCATATTTATGTGTAAGGTGAAAGTAACTACACACTCACCTGATTTAACGAAAATCGGGCAGCAATTCGTTTCCTAAAACGATCGTTTCTAATAAAACCGGG